TATGGTGGATAGATAGCCATGGTTCGATTTCGGCATGGAAGCCGGGGTGCCGTCCGTGAGTAGTGACATATCCGTGACCCGAAGAGCATGGTAGTGACCAGGCAGATGTGAGGACACCAGACACCAGCCAGTATATTATCCAGTGCGCCTGCCGCAGGCACTTATCACGTCCGAGGCTGTGGCCCGGTGCCTCGGAAGGCCGCTGAGTATTTCGTCCACTGCTACCGGGGCGTAATAGACTGGACTATATAGCTTCATTCCTTATGTTGATGTGATCCTTATGTTATTACTTTCAAGCGACGCTTGCCCGCCGTTGCACAGTGATCTGGCGCTTCAAGTCTCAAGTCCTGGCCAAGAATACTGGACGCATGTGAACGAAAATGGTCTTATGGCTTAGTGGGTTAGCAAGTGCTGTGTACAACACGCCTCCAGGACTGACAGGCTTTGTGTTCGAGTCTCGCTAACGAAGAGGAAAGCGTCGCTAACCGATTTTCTTGTTTTTGCTCATGGGTTGCACATTTCTCTTTATAATTTCAAACCTGATGATACAGTACTTTCATTGATGCTCTTTTCTAGTGACCGAGCACTCCCAAACATAACCAGATTGGGTAATAGCTCCCATGCTCGGGGGTGCACAAGAACCAGGCTCTCCATACAGGTACATATAGCTTCCTGCTTACTATCTACTCGTCCTGATCCTCACTGTCTTATACAAATACTGTTCACGCAGCTGTAGTGCTCTGATCCGGTTCCCCACCACCCCCGGCGCACCACCTGACCGATCGGGCTTTCCAGCATGTTCAAGTCAACTGCAGCTGGAGACCAATGTTCTTGCGTGTAGGACACAACAGATTCCGCCGCATCTTGGTTCCTGGTAAGGCAGGGAGTAATGATACCTAGTAGTAAACGCGCCCCTGATGCAGCACTCCAGACAGCTTGGTCATTGGGAAGATTACACTTGAGAATGTGTTCGAGTCGACCGTACTGTACTGTACGTTGATTTTCTGGCCCTTGAACATGCTCATACTTGTATGGCTTTCAGTAATCAGCTGTGTACATCAAATCAAGTGCACTCACCTGTACATAAGAAGCATCGCTACTCCTGCCGCCTCACTGCTCTCCTCTCCCTTCCAATCTGTTGCCTTGCACCCTGGGAGACTTCAAGTCAGAGTAGTAGGGTCGGATGCTGGAACAAAGGGTGGCAGGTGAGCCAGAATCCCCGTCTATTCTTCCAATCTCGCACTGAGGGCCCTTCTGCATGTCTGCCAGCCAGATACTGCAGCTGCCCACCCTACCCCGCCCGGGCGAACACCGGCGGCCGATGGCTGCGTGCTCAAGCTTGCTGTTCCCCCCACTGGGTCGATCCTGGCTCTACGGGCGCGGAACGCAAACCAGCGCCGACTGAATGCCGTCGCGCGCTGCTCGCACCCTCCAGACGGCTTCATCTGGACATGCAGATGGACGCACCGCACGGCCCAGAGCCAAATCCAGCGCACGCATACACCCAACAGCGCACGCACACATCCGACAGCGCACGCACGCACACACCGCGCCGCACCACGCCGTGCTGCACAATGATGCCGCAGCCGAAAAACATCATCGACCTCAGCCAGCCGCTCGCGACGGACAAGGTGTACGCCTGCGAGGGGCATCCGCGCTTCAACGTGTGCTGCATCTTGCACGTCTCCAATGGCACGTTCGCGACCGTGCACAGCCTCGCGCTCGCGACGCACACCGGCACGCACGTCGACGTGCCATACCACTTCTTCGCGGACGGCGCACGCGTCGGCGCGCTCGACCTCGCGCTCCTCACCGCCATGCCCGCTGTTGTCGTGGGCCTCCGCGCTAAGGGGCCCCGCGAGAAGATCACGCGGGACGACCCCCGCCCGTACGCGGTCCGCATGCAGCACGACATCTGGATGGGCTGCTCGCCATTGACCAGGAGAGGCTGAAGGTCAGCTTTACACCTCTGAATTTCGTCGATTGTGATGGGAGCCCGATTCGTGCTATTGCTTGGGAGGAGAAGTAGGAGAGCGAAGGAAAGGAGAAACATTAGTCCATCTCATACCCTACATGTACCCAGCTGCGTGGCGCCTCCCCAAGCACCTCGTACATCTCGTATGGCTTGATGCCGTTCCAGGTGGCTAGTCGAGGCCCCGCGGCTTGCACAGGAGCGAGGAGCATCTACAGCTTTCGAATGGTGGGGG